CCATAAAAGAATAAAGTTCTAGTTTTATTTATAGTCAAACACTCAAACTATCTAAAGTTTGGTTAAATTTATAAAAAGTAAGTATTAATTTTTATGAAAGCAAATCGATATACTATACAAATACATTTATGACGAATCCAACAACAACAACATAGCCTTTCAGTCCCAAGCAAGTTGGGGTAGACTAGAGTTGAAACCCACCAAGAGCCCTAAGTCACGGTTCAGGCACTTCAAGAGCTGCTTTCTATGTACTCCTATTCAAACATAGATCTCTAGGTATATCTCAAATTTTCAAATATCTTTTTATTGCCTCTTCCATGTCAATTTCGATCTTCCTCTACCTCTCCTCATATTATTAGCTTGGCTTAGGACTCCACAATCATTATATTACTTGGTTTGTACAAACTTGGAGGCAGTATGTGTTAGGGTTTTGATTTGAGCGTTGCTCTTGGATCTAGCTACATGAATAGACGTGACTTTTGTCTCAAAATAAAAATACTAGAAGTCACTACCATGGAAACAAACCCGGTAGTTTTGTGTGATTTAATCTAGTATACATTAAGGCCTCGTTTAGGTGACGAAATTTTTTGGGAAATGGTACTGTAGCACTTTCGTTGTTATTTGGCAATTAGTGTCCAATCATAGTCTAATTAGGCTTAAAAGATTCGTCTCGTGAATTTCGTCTAAACTGTGTAATTAGTTTTATTTTTTATTTATATTTAATGCTTCATACATACGTCTAAAGATTCGATGTGACGGAGAATCTTGAAAAATTTTGCAAAATTTTGGGAACTAAACAGACACTAATAAGTAGAGGTCTTTGATGGCTTTAGTTTACAAGTAGGTAGTTGCCTATCGAGTGGACACATCTTTTGGAGCAAAAGATTGAGGCATCAAAATACTTTGAGATTTTGCTCGGAAAATGGAGCGAGATTTTGGGCTGTCAATGGCCCACGGCCACTGCATACAACCTGCAGCTAACTGGCATTTGAACCCCCTCCCAAAAGAGCATGGGTATATGATGTACTACATCCCCACCCAACTTTGATGTAGCCAATAAACCTTGCAATCGTAATGATGCAAAACATGGCATGAGTAGGCATCATTCCACTTTAATTACCTGGTGGCATCATTGATCCCATGTATAGCTCGCATGCCTGCGAATTGTCGTGCTAATCCTTTTGGTTACTTTTGGAGAGAAAAAAGACATGTGATTAATCAAAATACTCACGTGTGCAAACATTTTTCACTCTCACATTTTGATGCTTGTATTATTATATTAGTAGTTCATAACTACCGGTAAGCAAGAAGTACACCATGATTATGGCTTCTGAGTGCGATGATCTTATCTATGGGTCCGTTTAGCAGGAATCCAGATTCTAGTAGAAACTTTATGTATTCAGATTCTCTCAAGAAACATTTCAAATGATGAATTGGAGTCAGTTTATGAAATCATTTGGCCAGTAGACTGAATTCTGATTCCAAAAATATGTTTTTAATAAAAAATTATATAAATGAAAATATGCTTCAACAAAATGCAGGGTGCTAATAACATACTCTGTGGATGCACAACAGCACTGTCAGCAAAGCATTAGTTATAAAAAAATAAAATGCAGGAGTATTCAAATACCTCAGGACCCCCAAAAAATTGCAAAATAGTAGTAGTAGAGGCAAGAGGAGCGAGACTGCGAGAGGCGATGAGGGCCAGGGTCAAGGGGGGCAGCTTTATTTTGAGGCACTGGCAGTGTTTCCGAAAAGAAGGAAAAAAGGATAAATAAAGCAGGGTGAGCACTTGACCCTCTGACCAGCGACAAAGATGCACATCGGCCTGCCTGCGATCACCAGTTTTGCTTCCTCACCCATCAGATCAGACAACACAAGGACCAGCAGTAGCTTAGGACCACCCTATCACAGCGTCCGCTAGGTTCTTCCTTCTTCGGGCTCGGGGGCCGTAAAGAAATCATACATTCGCCCGTAATAGCTCTTCCTTCCCTTGCTTAAGGACCCGCTTTATTCTATCCTAATCTTAAACCCTAGCTTTGCGGTAGAAAGTGATCCAGACCACCATTGCCGTAGTACGTACAAAAGCCTGTACGTAGGCACTATTGCTTGTCTTCAGCCCCCATAACTAAAAATGCTCCAGCAAGGCTACTACTAGGGCTCTGAAATTTGGATGACACCCATATTCTACCCCAATACCCTATCCCTGTTGGCCCAACAACCCGGCCCTCATCCTGCCTCTCGTGTCCCAGCCCCCGCGTCGCGCTTCCTCTCTCTTCCCCTGCGCGGTTGCGAGCTCCGGTGGCTCCCTCCCCTTCGGCCGCGCGACAGCAATCTCCGGCGGCGCCCTCCCCTTCAGCCCCGCGAAAGCGAGCTTTGGCGGCGCTGCCCCCCTCCGGCCGCGCGACGCCATCCCCTCCAGTGGCGACCCGGCGGTCCGCTGCGCGGGCGCTCAGGAGCCTCTCCTTCCCGATCCCAAACCTCGACTCCGATGCGGACGCCGACGCCAGCGCCGGCACCGGCCGCCGCGCCCCTTCCCCGAGGCGTCGCGCAGATGCGCTTCCCGACGCCGTGCTGCCCTGCCGCCTCCGAGACTGCTGCTTCTTCCCTGACGCCGCGCGGATCCGCTTTCCCCGACGCCGCGCAACCGAGATCCGGACTCCCCCGACGCCGCGCGACCGAGCTCCGGAGTCCGAATCTCGCTTCCTGCCCTGCCGCTTCCCCTCTTTCCCCACACGTATAGCTCAGCAGATAGAGCACAGTGAATGACGAGTGGGTCCTTTGTCTGTCTAAATGGATCTGGGGCCTGAAGTCTCTTTGGCACGGGTCATCAAAACGGCTTAGCCGGTGAAGCTAAAAAAAATGGTTTTTCTCAGCTTTTAGTTTATTTTAATTCCGACTTACGAAACGACTTTACGCTACTGTACCTCAATTTACGTAAAATAGATAAAGTCGAAGCCAGCATAATCCATATCAAAGAGACCCTAAATTTAGAGGCTATTGTTAGAGAGAAGGCAAAAAATCTAGACCAACAAAAATGAGGCCAAATCAAGAGTGGGGCCCTGATTTAATTTAGGTGGTCCAATTGGAGTTGCTCTTCTAGTAGTCGTGAAGATAGTAATTTAAATGGTGTACTACTACTCCATCTCATGGTTTGACTTCGTGTGATCTTTAAGGCTAGACTTTGGTTGTTATAATTACAATAAGTTGCTCGCAATGATAAAAGTGTGGTCCTAGGAAACTTCATTAGTTGCTAAAATAATACACTGCCCGTAACAATAACATCGAGATGCTACGAAATTGCTTTCAATTTTTCTTACGAAATTTACATTGTGTTAGTTCTAATTACTAATAAAAAATATTATAAAAATGAATCTTACTCTCATTGTCTCAAAAAAAGGAATTCTAGGTTTAGGATGACCCAAATTTTCTTAATTTGAACCGAGTTTATAATAGGTTTATTATAAAATTATATTACATAACTAATCCGATTGTATATTTTGTATCATAAATGTTAATGCCTGCGTCCTCACACCCAAATGAATAAGAGCCTGTTCGGCAGGACTGAAAAATAAGCCAAAATACTGTTTCAACTGATTGTTATGAGAGAAAAATATTATTCTGACTGAAATCACTGTTCACGTGAACAATGATTCGTGAGGGGCCTGCCCAGCCAGCCAGCCGAACAGCCCCTAAATTACTCTTTGTTGAATAATAAGTTAGTAGTGGCATAAGAAAGTCACATTTATTTAGGATTCATCTTTTGGCAGTGGCAGACACTAGTAAAAGTGCACCTCTGCAAACACCCCTTCCTGTCCTAAAACAAAATTTAGTTATGGTTTTATAGGCACTATATTTGACTAAGCTTATCAAGCAAATGTGTCAACAGTTACTCGTCAAATAGGTATATTGCAAAAATATATTATAATTTCATGAAAAAATAATACTACTAATTTGATATCATAAATATTTTATAAAAAAGTATATTTCATAATAAATTTAATAATACTAATTCAATACGATATACTCCCTCCGTCCCTAAATAATTATCGTTTTTTGTTTTCGTAAGATAAGTTTGACTAGATTTGTAGAAAATACGTGCAATACTTGTATCTCTAAATAAATTTATTATAAAAATTGATTCAACGATCTATCTAATAATATTAATTTTATATCATAAATATTAATATCTTTATATGTATCTAGTCAAAGTTGTTTCTAAGGAGACGAAAATGACAGTTACTTAGAGATGTACGGAGTATATGAGTTTTTTTTTAGTTTTATTATATAAATTAGCCTAAGCTCGTGATAGTTTAACTTAGAATAAAGATAGAATAACATATATTTTTTTCTATTGATGTAGGAGTAGTAGGTCGTATATAAACAGCTTTATTTTTATCGATGTCTCGCATGGGCGTACGGTAGGAATCCAAAGCATTTTGTAGACCAGCACTCTAGCAGTAGATTCTCTTATGTTTCAACGCTCTTGCGGCGTACGGTAGGAATCCAAAGCATTTTGTAGACCTGCACTCTAGCAGTAGATTCTCTTATGTTTCTCCGCTCTTGCAGTGTCATAATATTAGTAGAACCGTATATATATTCAAAGAATTCAGAACAGTGCAAAATTCCAAAAGAAAGCATTTTAATCGGTGGACACCAGACAAACTGGTAACCGGAAACAGCCATTGTACCCTCCAAAATCCCTCTAGGAATCCAAAGAAAAAATGAAGAGGTGAGTACCCAAAAAACTTAACTCGTCATTAGCTTTTATAACAGTGGTGATGACAAAAGTTCAACAGCTCTTACATTATATTCTACATATGGCATAATACATGCATGTCGTTATAGCACTAATAATTAAATAACCTCTCCCTCTCCAAGTCCACCAACAAGCCCAAGCAAAGCATGCAAGCACTTCACCGTCTGTTCCACGTTAACCTCCCCTCGCGGCCACCGGCCGGCAAGGCGCCGGCCGCCACGAGCACCACAAGGCAGCAGGCCTACACCGACGGCTTGCGCACAAAGTACCGGTAGGCGGCAACCTTCCGCTTCCGGGAACCAGAATTGTCTATGGACAACACCATCTTGCCGGCTTCCCTCGCTGTGAAGGCATTGTGCACGGGCTCCTCGGCGGTGGCCGAGACCATCCTCGTCTTCTCCACGCAGAGCGTGTAGCTGTCCTCGGCCGCCGGCACGTACTCGGCGCCGTACTCGAGGTCCCAGCCCCCGACGACCAGATCCCACGTTATTGTTGCACCGGCCTGAATTGCAAAGACAATGGTTTAGAGAAGACCCATTACCCTGTTCGCTTATGTTGAAATTTGGCGCTGATGCTTATGCTGAATGTTACGAGAGAAAACATTGTTCTATGGCTGAAATGTACCCCCCAAACATAGTGAAACTTTGTTAAGTATCCTTATAAAGTTTGTTAATTTACAGCACAAAAACGCGACCATTCATCTATTTTTAATCATAATATTGTGAAAGTGTGATAATTTATCTATTTTTCGTTATGAATACTAACTACACATGCAAAAGCACTAAAAATAAGTTGTTGAAGTACACACTTAATCATATTTATCCGGCCTCCCTTAGTCAAAGTTGCTGGTTCCACCTCTGATCACAAGTCATACTAGGTATTAACTTCATGCATAAATAAATAATCTTCATGGAAACTAAGTTCACATCTTGCTTATCCCTGGAAACAGGAAAAAAACATATATTTGATTGTTTGTTTCTGCACATCAGACAATTTCAGTTGATCTTGGCATGTCTTGATAGCCATGATACTACTGTAATTTCTTAGACGCCGTCCCTACCATGTGCAAGACTCACATGAACATTGCCCTGAAGTACATACCAGAATGAGAATCCAACACAGTGCCCAACTTTTTACAGGGGGTAAAGTGAACTGGCACTGACAGCAATAGCAAGATTAATAAATCAAGCACTCCTCAGTAAGCTTCCCGCAAAAGGCCTCGTTTACACTGTTACTAGTAGAGGTAAAAACTAAAGCTTCTCTTAGAATTCGTTTTTTCCTGCTTCAGCCAAAACAGTATTTTCTCTCGTGATAAATCATCCGGAACAGAATTTTTTCAGCGAAGCAACAGGACCTGAAAAGAACAGCGACTTTCACAGACCCGCATGCACGGATGCACCCCGTATTGCGCCGAGCGCAGAAGAGATGACAGCACGTGGAAACTCGCGCCGTGGCGTGAACCGCAAAGAAAAGCTACAAAAAAGGCGCACTGCCTGGCGTGTGTACTGTGGCAGTGCTGTGTGTATACTGCACCCGACTTTTTACCCTTCACGAAATTCTCACATTGCCGAGGTCATGACAGTTGACAGCAATGGTGTGCAGAGCTGGGCACTGGCCAGTGCAGTGTGCAGGTGCGTTGCAAAATTTAAACTCCACCTAGATGGAAGCAATTCATCACATGCAATGGCAAGTAGTTTTCCTTTTCTGAGATGAATGGATCGGAAGCTGCTGGATGTGCATGACTTGTGTGAAACGGCTAATGGCAAAGCTGTCATCTCTCTCTCCCTCCCTTGTCATGTGAGCTCTCCAACAAAACCTCTCCCTCCCTCCCTCCTCATGTGAACGGTGAACCGAAAGACACGACACGCAGCGAACGGGAGGAGCGCCTTGTTCGCGTGGCTTAAGAGCCGTATTTTTTTGAACTGACGAATAATATATTTTTTTCACGATAATTTAGCCAACGATCATAGCTTATCAGAACGGCCAGCTACGGCAGCTCTGCTCCAGAGAGCAGTGTTTACTGGTAAAAGGCCGCGCGGTGCAACAGCACAGGGCTCAAAGTCCTCTGCTTTTGCAGCGTGCCCAGCGACGAGCTTGGATGGACAGCTCCCACACCACAGATTTCAAAATCTAAAAAAAAGGACTCCCACCCCTCACATGACCATTTCTACTCGAGTTTAATGAGACTTTTCGTGGCGTGTCATCTATATCTATTAATTTTCAAATTGTATTTTTTTAGTCTATTAATTTTTAGTAGTGTATCATCTAGGTCCATCAATTTTCAAATTATATTTTTAAGTCCCTAAACTTTTTAATTTATCCGTAGGTCTATATTTCTTCGTTTAGTGAATAGATCTGACAAGACACATCAAATAAACAGCCACCGTGAAGTAGGTGATAAGTCCATAGCTCCTCAAGATGTTTATGAAGAGTTGTCTAGCAATAATTCAAATGTAGCAGCTAGGTAATTCATTAATATTTCTTGGTATTAAATTTGAGACTATTATTTTTAAGGATAAATATATTGTGGGCATGAAGAAATTTACAACTACTGGACTGTCATCAAAAATATTTTATAAATGTGCCTTATTATTGTGTGAAAAGGAAGAGAAAATAAAGCCAATAAAATACATCAGTACTAATTTTAAAGAGGTAGAGAAAATCAATGAAATTTTCCCAACGTGATTAGCATCCTTGTCGTAGTATTTTATTATTTTCATGCATTAGTTTCCTATCTAATTGTGATACACGATCTTTTATCTAGCATATAGCTTTTAATGCCTACATGCACCTATGTATGTGAATCAAATTGGTGGCTGCGTTTAAACGTGCTATACATGTTAGCCGAATAACGAACTCAGGTTCAATAGGTCCTAGTTGGGTTGGTGGAGTTCGAGTTTTGTTTGGTTCAGGTGGCTTACGTACCTATATATATGTGGCCTTCGATCTTGTACCGGGTAAATTAGACAGGATTTTATTATGGAGTTTATTCCCCATCGAGCCGCCGCTCGAAAAATCCTAGATGGGGATCCCATTAGGTTCTTCGTATTGAAGATTATCTCCGGACAGTGATCTCGTCCTGTACTTCATGGTGGCTGTTTTTTTGCGTGCCATATCAGATCTATTCGCTAAACGAAAGGGTATAGACCTACGGTAAACCGGTTAAAAAGTTTAGGAACCTAAAAATACAATTTAAAAATTGATGGACCTATATGACACCATCAAAAGTTAATAAACCCAAAAATACATTTTAAAAGTTGATAAACCTAGATGACAGATCATCAAAAATTAATAGACCCAAAAATACACTTAACTAGATGACACAGTACCAAAAATTAATGGCCCTAGAATACATTTAACTCTTTCTACTCGTACTAGTACTACGTGTACTCCGTATAGGTCATCCGAATACACACTCCTCGTACTGCGTGTCACGTCCCAAAAAAGATTGAAGAAAAACATGGTCAGCTCAAAGAGCTCGAACCAAGCAACCTAGGACACCGTGAAAACCGGAAAAAAGCTCAACGAGCCTTGTTCTTGTTCTTGGGTGTTCGTCTTTGTCTGATCTTTGTTCATAAAGCAAACACGCAGTACCCAGGTGGTGATGCAATTGTTTAGCCCGCAAATTGACATCCCGGAGACACGCAGATGAGAGTGATGCATGCTAGGCCAAATTTGAAGTGACCCCAGAATACTGCTTCTAGTTTTTTAACCATGTGGTTTCTTTGCGCCCACTGGAATCTGAGGAATTTGTTTGTACGTACCTACGTACGCAGATTTGAACAATGCGCAATTGCAAATGCCAACAATCTGAAAGTGTGTCGTTGCGTTCCGAATAGGCAGCGGCAATGCAAAATTGGGGGTATATACCTCGATACCGTCAATCTCCAGGAAGACCTTCTCGCCACCCTTGATGGTGAACTCGGACGCCGGCTTTGGTGGTCCGTTCTCGAGGTCGCCGGCGCGGCTCAGCCCGCCGTACTGCACCGGCACCAGTTCCGGCCGGATGAACCTGCGATTAAAATTGCAGGAGCAACTCGGGCTTAGACTTGTTAGTAGTGTCGATTTTGCATCGCAGATGCGCGCAATGTGAAAGAAGGAAATCGGCAATGTGGCCTGATAGTTAGTGTACATACTTGTAGAGTGTCTCGGCAACGTTGCCCTCGCGCGCTATGACGAACTTGCTCTTGGTGCGCTCCGTGAGGAAGGGCGAGATCATGGAGAAAAGCACGGAGAAGTACCACGGCACGTTGATGAACACCTGCGGGCGGGTGGGTCATGCGCCGGCCGCATCGTTTAAGTTAGCTCAGGAATACGAATTGGAAATGCCAGGCAGGCAAGGTAGGTGGTCGACGAAATGCGGCCGTTGATTACCTTGCGCGCCACCATCTCCGGGTAATTGTCCTGGAAGAGGGAGAGGATCTGGTTGCTGGCGGCTCTGAGCTCCCGCTTGGGCATGTCCTTGAGGTCGGTGACCTGTATGATGGCGTTGACGCCCCCCGGCCTGAGGGTGAGCGCGCGCACGCCGCGCTCCATGACCTGGACGCGCCAGCGGAGGAAGCGCGCGAGGCGGTCGCCGTCGCCGAAGACGCGCTCGTACATGTCCCTGTCTTTGAAGACGCCGTAGGCGTTGTAGCAGACGGGGTGGCCGTCGCGGTCCCAGCCGTGCATGTAGGCGACGACGCCCTCGAGATCCTTGAAGCCCAGGTCCTCGTCCAGCACGGCGTCGGCGCCGAACTCGGCGCGCCAGGCGGCGCAGCGGAGCAGCATGGCGTGCGCGTCGCGGACGCGGAAGTCCCGCGCGCGGAGGAACTTGAGGAGCACCACGTCGGCGCGCTCGTCGACCGGGCCGGGGGTCGGGGCAGGGGCAGCGTCGTCCGCCGCGGCGGGAGGAGAGTGGGGGTTCAGCGGGACGCCCCAGATGGAAATGGGGTCCGGGTGGGTGGCGAGCAGCGCCTTGAGGTCGGCGAGCGCGCGGAGCTCGGACGACGCGAGCGCGGCGGCCACGTACGAGTCCTCCTTGAAGGAGGAGGAGCGGAGCAGCGCGGTGGCGTCCATGAGCGAGGACATGAAGCTGCGCTTGGCGCCCTTGGAGGCCGGGGCTGCCACGGGCGCGGGCGACGGGGTGGTGGTGGGAGACATGGCGGTGGCGTGGGGCTTGCGGACGTGCGGCGCGGTGGGGAGGGGAAGCCGGGAAGGGGACAAGGCGTGGAAATGGTGGGAGCTGAGGCGAGGAGAGGAGAAGAGGAGGAGGTTTTGAAATGGCAGGAGGATTTGGAGTGGAGCGGAAGAGCGTGAAGGGGGACGTTATGATGGCCGCGCCTCGCTCGTGTGGGGTTGGGCTTGGGGGCCCGGGGGGCCGGGGGGGCCGGGGAAGGAGGAAGAGGGACCGGACCTGCCTGCTGCGGGCTCAGGATCACTGGCTGCTGGCGCGGCCGCCCGCTCTCCCGCGCCGCCGATTTTAAGAGCGGACGACCAAAAGCATGACCTGAGGGCTGAGGCTCTCGGCTCATTTTCGGTGGAAATTTCTTTAACAGATTGTCACATGTTTTTAAGAAAAAAAGAAGTGAATTTCATTGAGAAGAAACTCTTTTAATATGATTATCAATTCTATATAAGTCTTAAAATTAACTGTATATTAAATCATAGAATGAAACTGTCTATTAAAAGTGAGTGATTTATCCATGCTTCTTTTCGTTCTATATGACACGGAAGTCTTCGAAACTGTGACATAAACTTCTCACTGAGACCGGCCTCATACGTTTCTTAAGAGAGAGAAATTATAGGGCCTTTGGTTTCAAGGTTTGATATGAGCTGCCTCGATGAGATGAGCGAGGATTCCAAGCAAAGCTGTGTACTATTTGGTTTCCTTTCTTAAATGCTTTGAGGTCTATGCATGTGTTGAGAACCAAAATTGTTAAAAGGAATAATTGACTCACCAATGCGTTCCTCTTGATGAGACAATCGAAAAAATGCATTGATTGCCTCATTTTGAAGTCCGGGTGAAGAAAAGAGGATTCTTGGAGGCTGATGCAGAAAAACATGCTTAGCTAGATTTCAGAACAGGTCAGGCTAGATTTCCCATAAAAACCGTCCTAGCTGGATTTTGGAACTCAACCAACACTGTGCCAGGCCCCGCAAAAACCCGATAGGTCGATTTTCCCAATACAAGTCCAAATTGAGTTTTTAGGGCATATTTGGTAGGACTCCTCCCTAGCTCTAGCTCCGGCTCATCCGAAGGAGCCATACTATGTTTTGTAGGAGCTGTTTTTTTTTGGTGAAAACAAAGCCGGGCTCTGGATCCTCTAGAGAAGGCCTTCGGAGGAGCCCCTGCCAAACACCCCTTACTCAATGAAAACACTTTCATTATTGTGGGAAACTTGCATATTTCATTTGGAAAAGAATTTCTACTAGGATAAGATCACTTCTTGTATGTATATTAGAGGATCACGACACAATCGACAAAATCAATCTACTTCCTCTGTTTTGCCCTTTCAACCGGTGGCAGACCTAGGATTTTACAATATGGCATGCCGTAAAAAAAATTGATAGCCAGTTTGGTAAAACCACTTCCGATTCAATAAAACCATATTCCAATTCGATAAAAACTGCATGTATTAAATAATATGATAAGTTTTAAATTCAAAGATTAAGCTACAATCGATGACAAATTACGATATAAATAGTTCAAATAAAATACTAGACAATCATATGTTAATATGAATGTTGATAGCAGGACCGGTAGATGGACTCATATAGCCTGTTCGTTGGTTGGTTTCTGGGCTGATAAGCCCGGCTAGTGCTGGTTTATTGTGAGATAAAAATACTATTGGTTGGCTGATAAGCCCTGGCTGAAACCAACGAACGAATAGGCTGATAATGTGATGCTAATTATTGATCTATTGGACGAAGTCACAAACTAAAATACAAATAAATTACTACTAAATAATTAGAGAATTTGGTGTTTCTGCCCCTACTTTAAAGCTCAATGGTGATTTTAGCTCTTCTTTTTTCACTTTTGTAATTTTGTCCTCGCTATTTTGAAACGAAGCTTCCCTTTACCCCTTCTTTGAATGTCCATCGAATCAATTTAGATTAAATGATTTCAAAAAAAATAAACCCAAAAAACAAAAAGGACCAGATTGCCCCTTATCCATATGTTCGTAGTCCCTTCCCCATCGGACCGGCTGAGCTCATGGTTCACACGGGCGGCACCTGAGGCGAAACCCTAGCTTTTCACGGCGGGTCTGGTGGCGGCGTGTCGGCGTGGGCCAGGCGGCAGCGGGGTGCGCATCTGGAGGCGAGGGCTGGGGGCGGGGGCGGCAGCGCGCGCGGGCACAGGGCGCCGAGCCACCGCGGCGAGTGGGGTGCCAGGTCACGCGACTCGGGGGTGCCGCGCCGCCGGTGAGCGGGGTGCCGTGTCACGCTGGCTCGGGGGTGCCGGGTCGCGCTAGCGTAGGGTCACAAGGCCGCGCGGGCTCGGGGTGCCGGCGACGAGCACCCACCAGTAGGTATGCAGACCCATTCTCTTCCCTTCCTTCCTGTTGTGCGAAACAGTTTGCGACAACTGTGCTTGGGTACGGCTACGTGATGGTAAAACTGCTTCGACCAACTGTTTGCTGGCTGAACCTTTGCAGAGGCAAATCTGAGATTTATTACTGTCATGATTTCCACCTGAAAACACCTTGTGTTAAAGCTGAAAATACTCTCAGCTTGAAATATGCTCTTGTGATGCCTGAAGCCTGAAGGTCAATGATTTTCTTTTCAGTGTAGATTCAATCTGGCAAGCAACTATTAATGTTCAAGAATAGGAAATATTTTGGACATTTCTGAATGTTTAGCATTAGCAGTGTCTGGAACTGCACATGTTAAATGGTTTACATGTGTTCATATCCTTAATGCTGATTTCAGTAGTTGCTTGCCACCAGGTGGTTTGTGGACCACATGCTCAGCCTTGGATTTTCAAAGTCTCTTTCAGAATGGATCGGCAGTAACTTGAAGGACAACAATCATGTGACCTGGGCTTTCGATCTTCAGGCTGCCATAGACATGTTTAGTTCTTATAGGTAAAGTTTAGCGTGCTCGTGCTAACGCCATGGTTAAACCAAAAGGATAATATATATTTTTTTAAATGAAGTAAATAGTGAGATAGATTAAGATTCATGCCAAAAAAATGCATAGCTAGGACAGGACGAATGCATAGTGAGATAGATTGAATTGCAAATCTCGCCTACCTCATCCCTTCAAAAAATGGCATCATGTGATCTAAACCATCGTAGGCCGCGTACAGCTTACCTCGTATTCGGTTTTTTTTTTTTAGCCGGAACAATGTTTTTCTTTCACAACAATTTAGCCAGAACAGTGTTTTTCAGCCAAGATTCATCAAGCCGAACGGGCCATAGGCAAAGATTCTAAAAAAATCATAGTGTAGCAAGACCAGTAGCAAAGAAAGCTTAAACATTAAGTCAAATGATTAGGAATCAGGCCACCAGCACCAACCATTCGAGTTGACTTTCAAGTTTATGAAGCAAATATTACCCAGCAAGTATATTGCAAGATTGTGACAAATTCTAGTACATAGTGCAGTGAGCGCTACTTATCCAAGTTACATTACATAGTATACAGTTTTTTAAATAAATAAAAAGGTGAAAAATAATAAACTCCTCTCCTTTGCTAGAATCAATCTTCCAAGCCATGATAGCACCATCAGCACTCACTGAGCACACAATGTGTCTCCCTGCCACGAACTGTGCAAACCATGAAGTAGACAGTAAATAGAATTCAGTCCCAAGCCTTGAAAAAGAGGAAAAAGGAACGGCATTCAGGACTCGAGATATCAAATTTTATTGTGCTATGTCTGCAACTTGCTTGGGATTGAAAGGCTATGTTGATGTTGTTGTATGTCTACAACTTGTCAGCTGTCAACTAAGACAATTCAAGTTATGGACAAATCGTAAAATACAGTAACTGATGGCAGTTGGTAACAAACAGTGTCTTGCTCCTGCAAATGAGTAAGTATTGTGGAAAAGATAAACATACCATCTGCAGTGAAGGAGCACAAACTCTGTTAACATCCTGAATCACCGCCTAAAAGTAGGTGGGCCAAAGATGGGTTCATCTAGAAAGTAATCTTCCATAAGTATTGTTGGCCTGCTTCTTCCGATGAACCGAAAGCACGGCCTGTCAAAGAACCATAATGTTTTGCCTCTTGTAGCACATAAAGTCAGCATGCCGGACTATTACCATCTCTAAATCGCTGTCTACGTCCGAGGGCAAGATGTTAAAAAGAAGAGATCAAGTGAGCTCATCTGCAAAACAAATGGCAAAAGCAGTCAGGAAATTGGTAGCAAAAGCAAAATTAAATAGGATTTGCATCCAAACAAATGAAGTCTACCGTCCCATAGAATGGATAGTAACTGAACCGATGCTGAAGCACGTCATACTTTTCAGAAAAAAAATAAAGCTAACCAAATCATGGATGTAGAGCCAAGGTAAGCGATGTAATTTCTTGATAATTTTCAGTTATTTGATTAAAGAGCAGGGATACCTGTTTTGCATTCCGTGGATCCCAGTCTATTCAGAAGTAAAGCCAAGGTAAGCAATGTAATTTCTTGATAATTTTTAGTTATTTGATCAAATTAACAAAATAACAACCCTATAATAGCTGATTAAGCACGGTTCATCAGATTTTAATCACATTAGCCCAAGGTAAGTAATGTCGCTTGCTCTCACGACAACAGATAATCTCAACTGTGTTACCTTCGAGCCTGCACATCCTTGTCGGTGGGGTCACGGACGTCGCAGGCAAGTCGAAGAACGAGGCCAGCTCATCAATCTGCGAAAAGAAGCACATGCCGTTGGAAACCAACACCTCACTTCACAGCCATAGCTTGCACATCACGAACGCACCTGACGCTGCAGGCCCTCGTAGTCGACACGGAAGTCACTGAAGGGCCCTCGCCATCGTTGTAGCCAGGGAAGCCGACGAGCTCCTCCATCGTTTGCCGTGCCACGTCATTTTGGCCCTTGGTGACGCTAATGACGCCTATGGGCTTATTTTTCATGCTTCCGTTTGGCTTTCCCTCCGTCAGCTAGTTGCTGTAACATGGAGAAAAAAAGTTAGGAACTTGAATCAATCTAAG